AAAATTGATCTCAGAATATTGCCCAAAGTTGTTTACTGAATAAACCAATTGTCATTCAAAACTCCAATTTTAGTAAAAAATTCAAGGGCAAATGACTTCTCTTCTTGGAATAGTATTATTATATTTGTTTTTAATGGCAAATAAATAGCTCTCTATAACATTTTATTTTGCCAAATTGAAATAATTGTTTTTCTATTCTGATTTTAAATTCAGATTCGATTAAATTTAAAAAGAATGTATTTGAAATCAGAGTTTCATAATTATACGGAGGCTTTCGGAGGTATAATTCTTCAATCACGTGGTGATTTAAAAGATGATTTCTAACAAAAAGTGAGCCATCGAAAATACCGACGCTTCTTCATCGGCTCAATGAGCTCAAAACAAAACAATGTGACGGGGCTTTTTAAAATTTATTTCTTAGGAGCACACAACGGAATATTGTCATTAAATAAAATACTGCAAAATATTTTTTTAATATTTATAACTCATCCGAGATTTAAAAATCCACCAGAGGTAAATGTTTCCGCTTGTGGTAACAAATTGAATGTCTTAGAATCAGTGTTATATTTAATTTAAGTTTATATTTTTATCACTGTCCAACTAATATAGGCCAACTAAAACATATGATATTTGTATTGTTCAAAAACATATAAATACTAATGAAAAATATAAACACTTACTGTTTTTGGTGAACGTGACAATTTTTAGGACTCTGCCGTAGCGATGGAATATCTAGAAAGAAAAGAGAAATAAATATAAATTCTTGATTTGACAAAGCGAACAAAACAATAACAAAACAAAAAGTATAACACCTCAAACTCACCATTATTGTACATATTCGTTAATTATCGATATTTATCTTAATTTATTATTTGTAATACCTTTTATTACTACTATACTACTATTATTTGTAATACCTAATTTTATCTCAATTTTTAGATTTCTTTTTAGCAATGTCGTGGGAGTTTTCTAGTAAATGTTGTTGAAATTTGTGCTGACGACTTGACCGTTGTTAACAATAAATAAGCTTTGTGTAAATTGAAGAAAACATTTAAAATAAAAATTAAAAATTTCTTGAAAAAGCTTTAATTATCAATATTTATCGTAATCAATCTATTTCATTCCCATTGTCGGTAATAGATAATAATTTCTACTCATTTTTCAGATGTATTTTTAACAATGGCGTGAAAGTTTCAATAATAAAATAAAAAAATGTTATTCAATGCAGAAGCCCCGTTTCTAACATTTAGGCAATACATTGTCAAAACGCGTACGAATATTTGAAGGAAATTGATATTTTACTTCCAATTAACTAAAACTTCATTAGGACAACAACGCAAACGAGCGATTTTTAAAGTTGGTAAATTTATCAATATTTCTATTCAAAATAAAATGAAAAATAAACGTACCAAATACAAAATATCCAAACTAATGGGGTAGATCATATGTTCCACAATAACCCTGAGCACTGTATTTGGTCCACCCTGAATGTCCTGACCGTTTGTGACTGGGGTCGTTGGGGTCGCTGATGGGGTTACAGAGTTGTTCGTTAGAGCGTGCACCTGAGCCGCTTGCAAAGCTGCCTGAGCCGATGCATTCTGTAACAATCGAAAATCTACCTGATATACTTTGTATTAAAATTATTATGGAAATTTTATGCAAATGCTACGAATTATAAGGAAGATGCTTAATACACATTTCATATATCAAGGTGTGACACATAATCAATGCAAATTAGACTTGGAGACTTTTCATTTAGATGGTGGAATAGATTTAATAAAATTTTGCGAAAGCTGAACCCAATGAATGCAAGAAATAAATTTGCTTTAGGTGAATCACCCTGTATATTTGCATGCAAAAAATGCGAGGTTATAGAGATAATATTGAAGTGCTTTCAGTGTTAATACGATGAACAATTGCAAACAATGGTATTTTAAATCATCTCTAAGCATGAAGAAAAAGTTTTTCAACCAAAATTACATAAACTATTTTAAAGATCCGCAGTTTCTATAAATTCCAAAATCCAACATTAAAATATTCAAAAAAGTGACCCATTTTCAATATGTTTATCTTCAGTCACCGCTTACATAGAGTGTATTGTAACTAATTGCAAATCTTTTAAGAACGTCTTGCGAGTGTACTTTAAATAAAGTTCTTTTAATATATATTTTTTGAATTTGAGGCTCCTCTTGGAAAAATAGTAAAACCATCCTTTCTAGATTTCTACAGAAAAACAAGCTTAGAAATAAATTCAAGTGAATTTACTTCGTAGCCAAACTTTTATCTGTGTTTACTCATTCGAATAACAAAAGCTTTAAGGATTACATTTCATACAGAGAATTGTTCAATTTTTTCTTGCTTTTATATACCTAATGAATGACGATTAAAAATATTATTGTATTTCCTATCTCATTACAAATACTTATTCTCATCCCAGGGAACTAAACCTTTAAAACTGAACTTCAAAACTGAAAAAGCGGGAGGTGTGCCTTTGTGAACATTAAATACCAACATACGAATATTGAAAAATCATTTACAGTGCCAAAATACATTTAAGACTTTCAAATGAACCGCAAAAACCCATTTTTAAAAGATTCGCTCCCCATTACAAAACACTATGTTTGAAGAAGTTTTGCGTCCAATGAGATTTTCGGTTAAATTTTAATGAACACATAAAATCTAATTAGCTTCATAATCGCGGAATACGAGTTTTATCAACAATACAATTCTGCATAAAATGTACAAAGGGTTTCATTTTAAACATAAAATTGATATTATCCGTGGCTCACATATGGTTGTAAAAAGGTTTCATCTTGAAAAGTAATACCGAATTAGCCAAATTGATGACAAATTTAAAGGGATTTCCGAAAAAATTGATCTGTAGAAATTTTTATTTATATATTTAAAAATTTAGTAGTAGCTAAAGTAGAAACATTTGATAAAAATAGTGTTAGTTGCGCTCAAATACATCTATAAGTGAGATTTTTTAAAACTAAAAAACGTAAATTGTTAGGCTGACTGAAGACCAGAAAAAATGAAACAAATTAAAAAATAAATTAGTAGGGCATTTTTCCCTGCCTTGCAAATTACAAATTCAATATTCTCATCTCGTTCCCTCCGCTGTTTATTTGAATGTTTTCCTTGATGCACGCAACTCGTAATCTTTTTTATGAAATGAAAAGAATGAAAAAAGTTTGCTAATTGAATTCGCAGGCCATCAAAGTTTAACTTTATCGTCGGCGAAGTCGTTTTACATTGTACTACAATATTATGTTCGGGAAAAACAACACGAAACCTCATCAGCCGGCCTAATTGTGCGGGATTTTCATAAACGAGGAACTTTTCCTACGCGGCATTTAGCCTTTTCGGTCCCCTTTCGTCTGGCTAATCTTTTTGTATTGGGATTTTCCTAATCTTGTTATTTTTGCAATCTTGTTAAGCCAAAACTTTCGAATATGCAACTTAATTCCAGCGGAAATCTAACTTAATTTTAGGTGCCCATTATTTCGATACACAGCAAAGAAACGAACACAATCGTAAATTTGAAAATTTTAGATGATCAAATAAATACTATCTCTTGAAAACTAATTAGTATAGTTGTAGTAAATGGTTGTTTAGTTATACTTAGTATATTACATCATTTAAAACCCTGGATAGGTAATTAAACATGGGAAGACTCCAAACAATTCTAATTTATCGTATTTCAGATTGCACATGAAAATTGTAGTATTACGACGGGAATGCGATCAATTACAATTTTTTATGTGGCTGGTTTTGGTTTCCAAATCAATTTTTTATATTCGAAAGTAAGATCGGCTGCAGATGATAATAATCAAGTACCGCCTGAAGACAGGGTGACTCCTAGTTGAGTACAAAAAGTCCAAGGGCGTATTTTTGAGCTGATTTCATGAGAGAAAGTTAATATAAACCTGAGTTGAAAAATGGTTCGTTCCCAATCTAAAGCGAATGAAAAATTATAAACCGACATTTCCAAAAAGGAGTTGAATTTTAAAAGCGGGTGCACTTTTTCAACAATTTCTATGGCGTAGGATTTCAATTTATTTTGTTATTGTTACCGTTTAATGACACACTTGTTTCATGCGCTCTTCATAATAATTTTATCAGAAGAACTGCCTAAGACAATCGCAATTTGTAATTAAACGGAGGCATATATTGAAGAAATGTAAGAGATAACTTTTATTAAGAGTTAAATTGTACGTTTAATAGACTGTTAAAATTATATTTTTACAGGGCCATCGCGCTTTCACTTTCAAAATAATTTTACTCATTATCTCCGTCAATGTTTTTTAATGGCCCGTATCTATTGCAAATTGCATACCAGATATGGCTAGAAAATCTTGCATGGTTTGGAAATTAGAAAATAAATAAAAATTAAAACAGTATAGAATCTTATAAACTTTAACACCCAGTAGCTCGGAAAAGAAGCTCTTCCGACCCCATGTTCATATTAAAGTTTTCTCATAAAATCAGCTAAGGGTTTTTGTACTCAATTAGGAAACAACTTGTATATTTAATTATTTCGCCTGTTTGGCTTGTTTCCACTAATAATAGAGATTTATTATTATCCAATAATAATAGATGTTGATATCAAACGACTACTCCGGTAGCCGATTTAAAGCCCACATCACCAAACTGCAACGTCATTCATGGAAAATAGTTAACAATTGTTCTTTAGAGAGCTGACAAAGGAAAAAGTAGGATCTAGTTGAATAAAAGATAACCGTTGTTTACGTGTAGGGATTCCATGCCCTAGTAACTGCCCAATGGGGACATCGCTTCTTCTCGTTTTGATTGCACTTGATTCGAATCACCATAACTTGGAAAAGAATGAAACCGTTCAGGTGCAAATGCCGCTAAATTAATCGTAGTGTACGGACATAGATCAGGAATGTTTCAGAATTCAATAAACCCGAAATAAATCCGAGTTTAGTTTTACGTGATAATTTCACTAATTATAGTTGACGAAAATATATCCATAAGCTTCTTTTTCAAGTTTAAATGTTACTTTTGTTTATTTCGATAATAAGGATTCGCAAATAAAATCACTAATCTTACAAAAAAAATAAAAATTTGTTCTGTGAAATCAAATATGGAAACTTAGAAGGAAATAATATGGAAACAAGCATACACGCTAATGCTGATTACCAGCTAAAACATGTTTCCGTTGTTTTTTGTTGCTAAAACATGTTCCATGCTTTATTGATATGAAACTACTTCCAAATAAATGACAATAATTGTCTCTTTCCGTTAAAGTTATCGTTTCGAATTGAAACCGCCCGACAATTTTTGTGACTACTGAACTTATTGATTTAACGCATTTAATTAATAAATACCATAATTTGGAGTTTCCTCCATGAGATTAAGCGTTTCTTTAGTTTTGACGGTATATTTGAAAAATCCTTGTGTACATCGAGTTTTGGTTTCGGCCAATCGAATCCATATGGAATGAGAGAGAAATGTAACGAATTTTAAGGAAAAGGCCTTTTTAAATTTCCAATAATCCGCTAATAATTAACACAAAGATATATTTATAGATGATATTTATGATTTAAAAACGAAAATTTCTCAGGAGTGCAAGTTTGCATCTAAGGAGAATCAAAATGAGGGCAACACTTAGTCAAATCAGTTTGTAAAAATTTGAAACATTCCAACAACGTGCCACTAAGCCCCATGCGGCCTTATTTAAATCAACGTCAAATAAATTGAAAGTCCATGTTCATCTTATCATTCGCAATGGTCTTCCTTTATATAGAGCGCATTGTTTAAACCGGACAGGTCCAAGCATTGGAACATTTAATAGAACACCCTATATTTTTCAGCAAATTTTAATTGAAGTGCATCTCTGGATAATAATTATTGAGCGAAAACTATCTTTAGAAGATGGACATATAAGAAGCTGCTTTTGTTTCACTGTTGTCGTAGAAGGTACAGAATACTATTTTTGCCTTAAAACATGCTCAATTTTTCATTCTTTAGTGTGTTAGAAAAATGTCGTGAGTTTATGTTGTGTAAATTGGCCGATCTCCAACGATTCTTGAAGACGTAAATGATAAGAAATTTTATTTAAATTTTGATCGTGTTAAGACGAAATTGGGATCCCTCAGCAAAACTTTCAATATAAATAAACAGCTAGTCATCGTGGGACACTTTGTATACTCCTAATGTCACACAACATTTTTTTTTTAGTTCTACTCTGTCAGTTTATATACTCTTAATTAAAGTGCATCGTTCTATTTACTGCATGAAGAAATTTTAAACATTTCAAATACACATATAATGGTGATAAAACCTTAAAGTGAACACATGCGTGTTTTTGTGTGCGATGCTATATATGGGATAATTTACGAATAATCCTTTTAATCTAGCAGATATGCGCATCCTGAGAGGGTGCAAGGATTTGCCAAACTGAGCTGAGATTAAATCAGACAGCATTGAGGAATTGCTTCTAAATAAGGCATGTGGAGGTAATCATGAGGATTTATATTGAATAAGTGACTAAAACCCTATCTGATCAATCATATGACTTGCATTAATTATTGTTGTGGAAGTTCAGACTAATAATAATAAATCCGTTATT